CCTGACCTTGTCTACAGCATTTTAATGAGATTAATTAATAAAATGATGCCTTCTTATTTGTTCAATCATCCATTGGCTTTTACTGTCTGGTCAAACTTAACACCATGGTTGCTTGGTTCTCTCATCGCAAACCACACTCTCCCGAGCATCCTTCCTTTGCCTTTGAAAGGAGAGGGCATGACAGCCCGGGAAGTACAGAGCCGGCGTCTTCCTGAGACCAGACAGCTACCCAGAAAGCGGGGGAACGAGTGTCTGCTATCGTTTTAGCATCTCAGCAGGAAGCTGGGCCCAATGGGCAACCGGTGTCTATCCTAAATTCAAGACTCTGAGTGATAGCTCTTATTCCCTGAACGATAGTTTTCGTGAAGAAGTTCTCCACCTATAGCTGTTTCTAGGCTGCTGTAACTCAGGAATCCATATGCATCTGAGCCACATGAGTTTGAGGTTTTTTAATGGGGAGCAGACAGGCAGCGTTTGCACTTGGTTTATAAGTATCAGTGTGACTCAGATGTCTTCCAACCATGTTTAGATTCTTGATTCATACATCTGTCCCCTTCACAGGGATCCTTTCTGAACCCAGCTAAATCCTTGGGTTCAATCCTTTGCAATGAAACCTGGATGCTTCCAATTTAAATTAGGACAGCTCACTATGATCGAGTCCATTCTGGCTCATAGTGACCCTACATGATCGAGCAGAACTGCCCTGTGGGTTTCTGAGACTAGAGGTCTTTATGGGAGTAGAAAGTCTCATCTTTTTCCTGTGGAGCTGCTGGGGGTTCCAAACCTTGCTGAGCGTTTAACCCACAGCACTATCAGGGCTCCACAATCAGTACAAGGTCATTTCAGGTATTTCTGCAGAACAGTGCCTGATACTCATTTATGGAAGCTTCTGTTATGCAATGTACCCAGAAGGAAATTGATTTTTACATCTTTCTTCCCTCCTCCTTCACAAGTGGCCAAATCCAATAAATGTACCCCTGGTCCTCTTTCCTGTCTGTGGGAGGCATTGGTAACAAATCATGTCATGTCTGCCCATATGAAATCAACACAGTACTCAGAGAGCCACTGCTAATTGGAGATGCCATAAAAGATGGAAAACCTTTCCCATCCTGCGCAAGCTACCTAGGCAGAAACAAACAAACAAACAAACAAAAGGACTGCCATTGAGTCAAAGCTCCTTCTTGGGCCCTCCTGTGGGCTTCTGAGGCTGTCATAGTTTATAGGAGTAGAAAACTCAGTCTTTCTCCCTCAGAGCCGCTGATGCTTTTGAACTGCCGACCACGCAGATCCCAGCCCAAAGCAACCATTACATCACCAGGGATCCTTTTAATGAGGCAAAAGGCTTTTATAAACACCTCAGAAGACTTCAGGGTAAGGCAGTTTCCATGTTGGCATCAGTGGGCCCTAATAGAGAAGTAGCTTCCCACCTTCTGCATATATGGCTACACACCCTCCACCCAGCTCAAAGAAGAATCATAAGGGAATTTAGAAAATATCTTGAGATACCTTCAAATAAAAATCACAATATATCTCCACTTACAGGTTGCACGAAAGCAGAGTTCAAAACAAAGTCAAGGCTATATACATCCATATTAAAAAGAAAAAATATCTCAGCTCAATAGTCTAAGAAACTAGGAAAAGAAAATTAAAACAAAAGTAGGCTAGAGTTGAAATGCATACGATAGAGAACACACAAAACAAGAGAGAAGTCAAAAAGAAGAAGAAGAACTGGTTCCTTGAATAGATCAACAGAATTGACAGCCTGCTAGCTACACTGACCAAGAAAAAAAAATAGAGGACTCAAATTATGATAATCAGGAATAAAAGAGGGGCATTACTACTCCATTTGCCTATGTGACAACAAATTAGGTGATATATATAAAAGACAAATTCCAAGGCTGTGAGGCAAGAAAATTCGGTCACAGGCAGAAAGTTTTAAAAGAAGTAAAACCATCTCTACTTGCAGGTGATGTAATATTGCACACAAGTAGTCCCGGCGTACGGCAGAGTTGACAGATCTTGACATCCCTGTTTCCAGGAAGAGTCCACATGATCCAGAAACTTCCACAAGTAGAGCAACTACCGCAACATTCTATGACTCCTCTTCATTGTTGGAGGAAACTTTTATTATCTGTGCGTTATTATGTATAAATTACTCAAATGTATCTGTGAGTTTGCGCATAAAGTTTCCAAGGCTCAAAGACAAATAAAAGTCAGATTTATAAAGATACTGATAACAAAAGGTAATAATGAAATGGACTTACGACAGACTCCTCACGATGGTTCCTCATTGTAAATCAGAGACTATTTGTATAGAAAATCCTTTAAAATGTACATAAATAACTTAGAATAAATGAATTAAGTAAGCTTGCCGGATGAAGGTGGATATGCAAAAATCAATTGTGTTTCTATGTACTTGCAATAAGCAATTTGGAAATAAAATTTTAAAAATAAGTCCATTTATAAAAGCATTGGAAAGAAAAGTAGTTAGGAGTAAATTTAGCAAAAGCAGGGCAAACCCTATTTTCTGAAAACTCAAAGCATCATTATGGACCTGGACTCCATGTGTTGTGACTCTTAAATCATACCTGTACCTGCGCACATGCTCCAGCCCAGGCCACAGGGAAAGGCAAGACTGGGGTCATGGTGGTGGGGGCGAGGAAGCCTCAAGGAATCAGAGGAATACTGTGTGCTTCCTTGGTGCTATACTGCACCCTGGTTGAGGCAGCATTCGGTGTAAGACATGAAAATAATAGTAATTTATAATTTATCAAGGGGTCACAAGGGTGGGAGGGAGGGTAAGAAGAGGAGCTGATATCAAGGGCTCAAATAGAAAGTAAATATTTAGAAAATAATGATGACAACATGTACAAATATGTTTGATCCAACTGATGTATGGATTGGTACAAGAGCTATAAGAGCCCCCAATAAAATGATCTTTTAAAAATAATCATTGAAAAGTATTTTAAAGACCTAAATAAATGGAAAGATTTTCTTTACTTCTGGATCGGAAGACTTGATCTTGTTAAAATGGCAGTACTCTCCAATCTGGTCTACACATTCAATGCAGTCATTATCCAAATCCTGTTGGCTTCCTTGCAGAAACTAACAAGCTGATTCTAAAATTCATATGGAATTTCAGTTTCAGACCAATCAACACAATCTTGAAACTTATGAAGAAAAAAAATGGAGGATTCACACTTATTGACTTCAGAGCGTCAAGCCAAACTACAGTTATACAGTTTGTGACTGGTAAGAAGAGATCAATAGGTCAAGGGGATAGAATTCAGAGTCCAAAAATAGGCCAATACCTCTATGGCCAATTGGTTTTTGCCAAAAATTCTAAGGCAATTCAGGGTAGAAAGAGCAGTCTCTTTGACAAAGGATGCTGGGATACTGGAATATCCACATGGAAAAGTCTAGACTTGGTTGTCCATGTCACATCAAGTATGAAAATCAATTGAGCATGACTGAGCAGCTGAGTGAAACACTAAACACTATAAAGTTTTTAGAAGAAAACACAGGCACACATCTCCGTGGCCTTGTATTCGCTGTGACATCAAAAACACAAACAACCAAAGAAAAAAGAAACGGAACATAATCAAAATGGAAAATGCCTGCTTTCCAAAGGATGCTATCGAGGACATTAGGAGACTCCAATCAGAATGGGGAAAAAAAACATCGTAAATCATATATGTGACCTGTATCCAAAATGTATAAAGAACTCTTGGGACTCGATCATTAAAAGGCAAGTAAGTGGACTGAAAACTGAGGGAAAGTGTATGAATTGACCTTTCTAAAAAGGATATACAAATAACATGACGATGATACTCAACAACATCAGCCATCAGGGAAATGCAAAGAAAATCGCAGTGAGATTACAGCAATCAGAGCTAGAAGCAGGCAGGTAGGTAAGTACGCGTGCTGTGGATGGTGTGGTACAGTGGGAAGGGTCACGTCCTGAGGAGGGGAAGGAGAGTGATGGGGTTTTCACTCTGGGGAACAGTATGGCTGCTTCTCACAAGGTCAAACATAGAGTTGTGGCATGACTTTGCAACTTTTCCCCCCAGTAGTTTTCTTGATATAATATTCCCGTCAAACATTTCCCTAGTTAAATCATTTTTTAAAGAGTTGTATAGACATCGTCACAGTCAATTTGAAGGCTCCCGCCTCCCTCCCCAATTCATTGTTTACTCCTGAGATCCCCTAGACCTACCCACCCTCCATCCCTGCCCCACGACCGGACAAGCCATTGCATCAGCATTGTCTCCATGCACCACTCCTTGTGTGCTTCACAGAAGCCGAGGAGAAACGATCAAAAATGAAAACAATAGACAGAAGAAAATAGTAATAATATCGTGATAAAAATAATGAGTAAGAAAGAAAAGACCACCAACAATATTTTAAAAAGCCAGAGTAGAAATCTCTGTCATGGAACAAAGTGAGAAACATTTGAGCCTAGAACAATTCAGGTTGTGACTCACTGATTCTACAACTAAGATACCCCCAATACTAGTGACAACACATGTCCACACAAAACTGTTCAATGGTCAGAGCAGCATCGTTCACAATGGCCCCCACGAGGAAACCATCCAAATGCAAATCCACTAAAAAAGGAATGAAGTGTTGACACAGGCGTGTGTTGTTACAGGTGACCCTAAGAGAACCTGATGCCAATAAGTCAATCACAAAAGACCACTTATTATATAATTCCATTTACATGAAAGATCCTAAATAGGCAAAGGCAGAGGGACAGGAAGTAGCCACGTGGCTGTCCCTCTCCAAGGTACTCTAAATATTTGGATGACCCAGCTGTCTCACGGAAGATTAAGAAGAACTCTGTTCAGTCAGCCTGCCAGAACTTTCTATGTCCTAATCCTTCCTCTATCTTCTCCCATTCCAAGCGTCTTTCAAACCCGTTGACATGAATTGCTCCCGAAATTCATCCCACATCAAACTGAGGTCCGCTGAACGAGACGCACCCCTCTGACCCAGCTCACCTGGAATCTCGTGTGTCCAGGATGGTGCGATTGAGGGGCAACTGGTTGCTGAGGTAAACGTTGTAGCCAAACTTATCGAAGAGCTTCTGGGCCCTTCTCTGCTCAGCCTCAGAGAGACCCTCGCCCCACTGTTTGAAGAGCGCTGAGTCTGGGAAGAGCTTCTCGAAAGATTTGCGCTTTGTCTCAGCCTGCACCGCTTCCACCGGCTGCTTCAGTCTGTTGTCAACCTCTTCATGTTGCTTCAACTTCATAGCTTCTTCTGCAAATGAAGGAAGTGGGGCGGGTTGAGCACGTCAGTCAATTTTCAATTACCAGGCATTCCAATTCCCTTGAAACACGAATCTCTCCAAAGTCTAAGAGTTACCTGTTCTAGACCCAGACCTGGAGGCCCTGGCCGTGCAAACAGGTAAGCATGCAGCTTCTAGGGGCTCAAATCGACCCAGAGGTATCTCGGAACTAGGCCTGCTCCTGAAAAACTGGGCGTGGGAAACTGTGGAGCAAGCACGGCTGTACTCTGAAGGCACGTGCGAGTGCCATGAGTGGGAATCAATGACTCTACGGGTAACTGGTTTGGGCTTGCTGTGGTTTGATCCCAGAACACGTGGCTCATGTGTCTAACAAAGGAACTCGTCCCAGGCACACAGGTCACCCTGCCAAGACATGTGCTGAGCACCCCTCCCCTTCATTCAGCTCCCTGCAAACTTATCCCAAGTCCCACGCTCTGAAGGCTCTCCAGGAAACCTGGTGGCCTACCGTCTGAGAAATGGGTTAATCCTGAGTCATTCTCCCCACAGAATGAAGCCTAAGAAACGCCTCCCCCTGAATCGTCCGCCATCTTTATATAGCTAGCTGACCTTACCGCCGAATCTATTAAACAAAAATCTGAAAGCCAGGTCGGGCTAGGGGCAGGAGACACGGCTGCAACCTCCATTTTGAACAAACTCAAGGAGCCATTTTTTCGTAAAATGAAATCTGAGACACATGGCACTATCCTGTTGTCTCCAAGGCAGCGGGCTTGTTTCCTTCTCGCTGGTTGGTTGCTGGTTTTGTTGTTGGGGGCAGAGAGGGTTGTTTCTTTTCTTGTTGTGTGGCTGACTATGATGAATTTATTCCACGCACCATCAGCATGGCCCAGTCATTGATTTACTAGTAGCTTTTCACTGGGGGATGTGCAGCTAGCTCTAGAGTCCCCAATTTTCTTGATTCTAATCAGTAGGTCAATTCTGCCTTGTGGTAACAACACCTAGTGCATCAGAATACAATTAGCCCGTGCGGAGTTCTCATTGACCGATCTTTTGGAAGAAGATCTCCAGCCCTTTCTTCCTAAGCATGTCTATCTAGAATCAAAACCCCAGCCTTTCAATTAGCAGCGGAGAGCTAACCATTTGCAGTACACCTCTTGATTGGAAGAGTATCTCTGAGAGCTTGTTAGAAATGTGGCATTTCCATCCAATCCCCCAGAGATTCTGATTTAGTATGTCTGAGACTAGAGCCCTGGTGTGCAGTGGATTAGAGGTTAGACTGCTAACCCAAAAGTCAGTCGTTCAAATCTACCAGGGGCTCTTTGGGAGAAAGATGAGACTTCTTGCTCCTATAAAGATTTACAGGCTCAGAAACCCAAAGGAACAGTTCTCTTCTGTCCCATAGGGTTACTATGACTTGGAATCAACGTGAGGTACAGCTAAGAGTTAATATATATTTTTTCACATTTGCTCCAGATAAATGCAACTATCCAATGATTTTACAAACACTGTCTTAACTCCACAGAATGAGCAATGACAGACCCTTGTAGATGATACTTTCCTACACAGGAGGGTTTCCGGAAAATCTAATATCACAAGGAAAATGCTAGTTGGTATTGAGAGAACAGGCCCACAACTTTGAGAGCATTTTCCATCCCTCATTTAGGGCACAGCATATTCTTTATCAATCATACTGGGACACCTGACCGAGTGAATGACATGTATTAAGAGTTATTCCAGGACAACAGGGATAAACAGAGTAGCCCAAGCCAACGAAGACTCACCACCACCCCAACCCAAGGCAGGAGAGTTTATTAGTATCAGTTTCCACATGTTTCTCACAGGAGCATCTAGCTCCACAAGGTCTGGATCTGGTGTTAAATATAGGTTCCCCTCAACACCATCAAAACCATAGCCTTGTCCCCTTTTTGCAGGCGCATGATTCCGCTCCCTCTGGAAAACTGGGCAAATGTCCGCTCAGCTGGGAATAATGTCAAGAGAAAATGGAAGAGAGATCAGCATTATCTGACCTGCTTCGGGCTGTCGGCGTACATGCCCCAGGCAGCTTTATCTCAACTTAAGCTGACTCTGCTCTTGTCATGTCACGTGCTCCCCGTGAACATTAGCGAGTTAGAGGCAGGTTCCAACAGGCTGCTCTGCCCCATTCCTCCACCCCCACCCCCCACCCCCATCCTCTCCGCCATCATCTTCTCTCCTTGATGACCTCATCTACCCTCGAGGTCTTGCCTTTCTTTTTCTTGTAACCTCTAAGCCACTCTCCAGTACACAACCTGTGGTTCTCAGACTTGGATGAATTTGCATGTCATCCTTGGCCACTGACCAGTTGTGGGGCCTCAGGAAAGTGTCTTAACTTCTCCGTTTCCCTGTCTGTAAAATGGGGACAGCATCGGCCCTGATTGCATAGGTGTGTCGGTACAATTAGATGAATTTATATATGTGAAATATCTAGAATTATGCCTGGAACTTAATAATTGCTCAATTAATGCTGATTATTGACATTAGGATGATGATGATCATCATCATTATCTCAATTGGGGACTAAAGACATTTCTCATTCTGCTATTGTTCCAGGTCCCCAAATTTCTTAACAACTTAATTCATCACTTCCCTACCCACCAAGTCCTGAGAGGCCACTTCTTACTTCTGCCAATGATGCTAACCATGTCCTTGCAGTGACTAAGGCTTAAACCCCCCCCCCCGCCCCGGCCTCCTTTGACTCTCATCTTTGACTCTGTCCTCCCCACCTTTATTCAGTCACCCAAACAGAATACTATTTACTGTCTTGGGGTAGAACTTATCTTTCTTTTTGACTTTATCACAGTTCAAGGCTTTATTAACTCTTATCTGGATTGTTCATCCACCAAAGATTGTTCGAGCACGTATTCTGCTCCAGAAGTCTCTGGGTAGTGCAGACAGTTCATATTTTTGGCTGCCAACCCCAAGGCCTAAGGTTTGAGTCCACCCTACGGTGCCTGGGAAGAAAGGCCTGGTGCTCTGCACGTGAAAAAGCAGCCATTGATGCCCCGTGGATTACCATTCTACTTTGACCCACATGGGGCCGTCATGAATCAGAGTCAACGGCAAGATCATCAGTTCAAAACCACCAGCCAGCAACTCAGAAGAAAGATGAGGCTTTCTACTCTTGCAAGGAGTGCCAGTCTCAGAGACCCAGAAAAGCGATTCTGCCCTGGCCTATAGGGCCAAGAGGAGCTGGAATTGATTCAATGGCAGTGGATGAGTGAGGGAAGTACTACCTAGTTGCCAAGGAGAGACTGGTTGGGAATAGAGAAAAGGGGATGAAGTGACCCAGGATGAAGCGGGCAGCGATGGCAACTATGGACCAGATGCCATTAAATCTCAAACAAGTAAGGAGGTGGCCAGAGAAGTCAATAGGAGGCATGTCAGCAGAAGAAAGGGGGTAGCAAGGCCTTCATAGGAGAGTGGAGTCTGCCACGGTAGCCTCTTGGGTCTCTACTTTCTTCGACTGGACTGAGCCTCGAGTCAAATTCACATATCCTGAGCATCATTTTGGTATGATACTTCAGGACCCACTGCCCCATGGACCCACGTAGTTCTCACAAATCTGCCCCAGAAACCACATTAAATTGCAATCAGACTGCAGGCACCACCTCCAGGTCTGATCCATCCAGCACCTTCTGCAAAAAGGCACCCCCTTTTCTGGATGTGTGCAGGCTGTCTAGGACATAGCACAGCTGTGTAGATTTTCTCTGGGTTGATTTGACTCTGGCCGCAGCCCACAGCTTGGTGAGAGATGTGGTCTGGATTTCAGATCCTGACGTGTTGTGTGCTGTTACAGCTGTCGAGTCGAGCCCAAATTGTGGCAATCCCACACGTGCAGAGTAGCACCGCTCCCTGGTCT